TGTGGGAAATTGGAGAAAGAGGGAGGCTGTTTAATGAATATCAATGGGCTGTAAAGTATTCCAAAAATACTTTAATGAAATTGTCTTTCTTATTCCAAACAATATACACAAAAATAGAGAATTACTTGATGATTCAAATGCATTGACTTGAAAAGTTAGTTGGCAAAGGAAGAAAGCTAGAGTAAGACTGAAAAAATAGATGTTTTGACCCATTAGATGGGATATTATACTATTAATCAGATGTTTGAACATGGGTGAGAATAGCTAATTGTTAGAAATAGAAGTATTATAACTAGAAAGATAGGATTTATAACTAGAATATTATATTTTGGTATAAGAAGGGAAATAGGAAAATGCTAAGAGGGTTTGAATAAGGGAAGCTTTTGGTTACCCAAATATAACATTATGAGAAATTATAAGCAATAGAGACATTTTGAACACTGATGAAAAATTAAAATTTAAAAAGCGGGAAAAACAGAATATTAATTGAACAAATGGATATTAAGTGCAAATGCAATTAAGATATATTTTGATTAGAAAAGATATTTTAAACCAATATTATTGATATTATTAGGAAAATGTAACAAAAGATGTTGATATTCAATTGTAAATGTATTAACAACAATAAGAATTGCATTTGCCTAATGTGGGAAAATGTGTACCATCGGAAGACAAGAGAAAGCATTGAATGGTGTAATATTGGGCCTAGATTGAAGAAGTTAATATGTACCACTGAATTACTAATAGACCCAGGACAGCACATTGTTTATTAAGTATTTATGATTGTAAAACTAGAAAATTAATAAAATATTTATAAAAAAGAAAAAAAGGGGGCGCTGCTCGAAAAAAAAGTGAAGGAGGAAGACACAGTTTTATTTAACAGAATGTCCTCACAAAGGCAGGAATGATCAAAGATCATTGAACAACCTAAGCATGAAATCAAAACTTGCATTATGTACAATTCAATTTCATTAAAAAAAAGTTAATAATATCCCTCATTGATCGTCACACAAAGTCATATAGAAATAGATATCTCCAAGCATCTGGGTATCTGTGACCTCAATAATCTTTGTTGTGATCAGTCTCTCTGGAATTCATCACAAGTCATATTACAAGTATTTTATAATTTAGTCTTTGTGTTAAGCTAAAACAAAGTTACAAATAGTTGTGATATAAGTCATTCTGCTAGAGATCTCAGTGTTCTTTTTATCTCTATCCAGGCTACTTGAAGCCTTTACATCAATTCTGTTTTTTATCTTTCTATCCAACCATATTTCTCTACACTGGTAATTTGCAGATCTTTTGTTTTCAGTCATGCTCATTTTACAGTCTCTGTATATTTTCCCACTAATTTTTCATACATTTTTTTAAAAGATTACACTGATTTCAGATACCAGCTATGATCAATATACAGCAATCAATTGATATAAATATTATGGTATTAATAATAGAAAGCATCTGTGATTTCAGGATTTGGAAGAAACCAGTTACACAAAAATACTGTATTTCATAGATGATTTAACCACATTGGACAGGACAAACTCATAAATCCTTGCCATGATGAATGAAAGGAGAATTATTCATTTTCAGATACACATTCATTTTACTAACACAGCTCAAGAAAAATGAAACAAAGCCCTATTTCCCAATATTTAAGAATTTTCTTATTTAACAAGCAAAATAATAATCATTTCTACTGACTTGTTTAAGAAAGCACAGAAAATGAGACAAAAAATCATCAGTTTAAAATCTAAGATGGAAATATAGACACTGACCAACATGCTTTTCCTAATGCCTCAATCTCTAATTCCATGATATGTTTCCCAATTTTTATAAGGATTATCCACAAAAGGAATCTGCCAAATAGTGTTCTTATGTAGTTTTCCAGTAAGCAATCCCTGTGACTATTGCACCATCTAGTGAGATATGAAGATAATATAAATATGCTAAGAAATAAAGATTGGTCATAGGATGATGAAGTCGCATTTGCAACAAAATTGGTACTTTCCATTTCCACTGTCACTATTCAATAGCAATAGCACTTAGACTTATATACCGCTTCACAATGCTTTCCAGCCCTCTCTAAACTGTTTACAGTCAGCATATTGTCCCTAACTATCTGGGTCCTCATTTTACTGACCTGGGAAGGATGGAAGACTGAGTCAGCTCTGAGCCAGTCAGAATTGAACCGCCAAACTGCTAGCAGCTCGGTCAGCTGCAGTACTGCATTCTAACCACCATGGCTCTCAAATATGTACCCTCAAAGATATTGTTAGTCCAGGATTCAAATAAATTCAGTATTTGTTTCCCATTGTGCTATCATAATTAATGGAGGAGGAGGATGGAGGAAGAATGAACATTTCCCAGGAAATGGAAGGAAGGAGTATTAAATTGAGTTATTTATAAAAAAATAATAAAAGGGAGGGTATAAATAAATAAAGTTTCAAGTGATTTATCATATGGAGTCCCACACATTAGTTGGTAGCATCCATTGTAGATATTTTTTCTAACATTTTCCTCATGTTTTGTTTCATTCTGAAAAAATAAAGGCCTGTCAGTTCCCCTTTTGGGTGCCCTGCCATTCTGTTGGAGGGGGGAGAAGGCAGCTCCAGGGGAGCATTCTTTGCATGCGTTCGCTTTTGCTGTAATCACATGGGAATTATGAAAGGGGATCGTCTTTGGAGACGGGATGAACTTCTTCCCAGATAGTTCCAGCAGGATTCCAAGGTCACTGCTCTCTGAAGATGACCCATTATCTGTCCTGTACCTCAAAACAACCTTGCAGCATTGTATTGGCTGCCCGTGGACTGGTCAGGGGGCTTGGATTTCAGAATGGGAAGAATTGTGCTTTGCGCGGGATCATTAAGATTCCGTCTGACCTTCCTGCAACCACTGTTTCTCAGTAAACGGTTTTTTTGATTAACCACATAGTATCAAGAGTCGTGCAAATCCTTATGCCTACTTATGATGATGATGTTATCCATTCAGTGGTGTCTGACTCTTGGCATTCTATGGGCCAGGTCTTTTCACATCTTCCGATTTTGCAGTATTTCTTTGAGTTTTTCTATGTTCTGGCTGGTGTCAGCTTTGATGGTGTGCAAAATCATATTGATAATCAATGGAGCTTATTTTTCTATAGGCTTAATAAATGTTAATAATGTTCTCAACCAGAATCAAGGGTAACCTCACTGTGATTTCTGAAATTCTTTCCTAATTCCTTTATTCTTTCCAATTGTGGGGAAAATCAGGGTTGACATAAATGGAAGAGTTTTAGACAAAAGGAATTTGGCCAGCAACATCTACCTCACATTGGCCTATGTTTATTAGAACATTCCCACTGCAACCCCTGAATCTGAAAAATGCAAATGTTTCTTCCAATTAAGGTCAGTTTTTTCTCTAGAATCAAATATTGTATGCCTTTATCCCATATCAAGACAGTGATCATTATGACCATTAACTATTTTTTTTCACACATAAATCAAAACATATGGGGAAAGGATTGAATTGCCTCTTGGCTACCAAAATTAGAAGGCACTCAAATTCATCTTCAATTGGCAGTTAAGAATGGCATCTGTCAAGGCCAATTTAATGACTGTCTTGATATTTGTAGCTGCAGTCTAATGGATTAAAATTCCTTCTGGAATTAGCATTTTAAGAAATATTAGCAATCTTTTTTAAAAAAAAATCTAAATGAATTCAATTCAAGATGTAAACCACCGGCTTAAATTGTCTTACTTCAAACATGTTTATATAAATTTGTAGTTGCAAAGAGCTGATTACTTGATGGCGCATCATAATCATTCATTTGGGGACCTTTATAACGAATTTTTTTTTTTTTGTTTAGGCCAACCACTGAAAGTTCACAGAATCTGCCATAACACATTATTTATTTGTATTTCTAGGTTATTATATGCATTGATTTTTAAATAAGTTTGTTGCAGCACCTAGGATTGTTCATTTTGAGGGGTCCTTGGTGCTCTCTGAGCTTGTTTTCATGCAGAAATTTCATTACCTAAACCAGGTAATATCATCAGTGCTAGTCTGACTTGAAAACAACCAAATTCCGAGTCCACCGAGGACCCCTCATTTGAACTCTGAGCTACAAATATTCTCCTTTATTGATACTGTTCATTTTGATACATGTAGCTTTGGGATCTATTATGTCTGCCCTACTCCCAAGCATCCCTAGCTATGGTAAAAGGTAATTGAAGCCCAACACATGAGGATGGTAATTTAGATTATGCTGTTATAAATAATATAGTTAATATGTATCCAACATTCTCTATGATTTTTAACAGAAATATTGAGTCTTGCTCATGCAAATTAATACTGAAGACTTGCAGATTAATTTCTTCACTACTACAACTTAATTTAAAAACTATTTACATTCATCTGTGTGTCCTATAACTATTTTTAAAATAGATTTCTTATCAATTAAATGTTTGTAATGCACTCAGTTATTATGTATTATCTTCAAAATATTGTTTTATTATTAGTATCATGAGGTGAGTGGGGAAAATTAAAGAACATACCGCTGGCAGGGCTATTGCTAAAAACTGTAAACCCAATATACATTTTTGATACTCATTTTTTTAAAAAAGAAACAACAAAGATTCCAACACAAATTTTTTTAATATAAAGGAGCTTATTTCTAATATTATTGGTAAGATCGGTAATTTAATAACTTTTTGAAGAAAAGGCATTTCACACCAGTTACAGGTTCCTACCCTGTGTTAATACAATTAAAACAAAAACATGAAAGATCAATTTTTACATTTTTCTTCTTAACAGAAAAATATTTCTAAAGAATCTACTAGTCCATTTCTGCTTAAAATATTCATTAGCATGAGAAAGCTGAAAGAAAAAAAATCACATTTTTGTACATATTTATACTGTGTGAATGTATATGTGTATATGTATGTATAAAACTGATATATATATATATACATATATATACATATATATGTGTATGTGTATGTGTATGTATGTATGTATGTATGTATGTATGTATGTATGTATGTATGTATATATATATATATATATATATATATATATATATATATATATATATATAGCGCAATTGCATTATATTTAAAATACCACTCTCCCACAGTCAACTTCCATGCTCTATTAGTAGTTCCTCCTTTGCTTAGTTGCCAACTTGTGGAGGTCCTTCAGGAATAAGAGATGTAAAGAAAGTGGTAATGAAAGACCATGCAGAAGACATAAATCCAGGATTCTGTTCTGCACTGACATCACCAATATCTTCGCCACTATCTTCTTCAATACCTTCATCCATGAGACGTTCCTTTATATATATAAAAAATACTAAGTGAGTTAATCATTTTAATGTAATTTGTATTAACATAATTATTGTAATCTACAGTTTCTTGGAAAATATGTGTCCTTCTTTCTATCTAGATACCAAAACACAATGTATTCCTCTTGGCAAATTTGATAGATTATAGACAGATCAACACTATGTTTATAAATTATAAAGAATAATCAAATATTGCAATGTAATATAAATTTATTCAGCTCTGATTTTAACTACATTTATTCCCTATTAAGCATGCATGAAATCATTTTATTTTTATTTCTTAAATTTAGAGTTAAACTTTCATAAAACAGTAATTTTTAAATTTAAAAGTAGTCGTGTTGTTCAATTCATCTCCTTACCATTTCTTCAAGACCAGCATTATTTACATTTTGACCATCATGGTTTATATCTGCATTGTTTGCTGCCGGCTGTTGGAATCCTTCTTGTCTGAATGGGAACCATCCAGCTTGGTGCCTTTATAAAAGACATTGAGAAAATTACTAAGAAGAAATAAAACATTTAGGTCAGCAAACAATAAAAAGCAACGAATAATAATCTGTTAAAACTAATATCATCTAACTCATTCTTCCCCATCATCATGCTTTCTAGACGTGTTAGAAGTACAACTTGTAGAATTCCTCAGCCAGAATCATACATATTTTTGAATGCAATTAAATGTATTGGATGTAATTTCATGATGTATAGTTGAAATCATTCAATTATATATTTTTGAGTACATATAACATATAAAATGAATATGTACAAGCACTAACATACTCTATTTTGCAATGGTGATAAATATCTATAGCTCAGGTATAGGATAAGGGTAAAGGTTCATTCTCCGTACTTGTGGGTTGATTTCTGAACGTTTTGTTACCAGACTAGGTAACATCTTCAGCAGAATTTAGGGGATATCAGTGTCAGTGTTTTCTCTCTCTCTCTCTCTCTCTCTCTCTCTCTCTCTCTGTGTGTGTGTGTGTGTGTGTGTGTACATATATACATATACACATATACAGAAGAACACTGACACACACACACACACACACACACTGACGAATAGTTATATACTGACACTAACATCCCCTAAACTCTGCTGAAGATATTACTTAGCCTGGTAACGAAACCCACAAGCTTAGAGAACAAACCTTCACTCTCATACTCTGTTTTAATTTAGAAGACCACATGACAATTCACTGTAAATCTTATGAGTGTTACTTATTGATCAGCTTTCAGAAATGAAAAATATTCATATTTACTGAACAATGGATTAAAATTTACAATAAACTAACATTTCAGTAGATTTCAGTGAATCTAAATATAATTAAATTTGTATAAAACCGCTGTAAAAGATACAACATCCATTTCCAGTTGTGAGCTATTTGCCATTTGTCCATGTGTTGGATATGATTTTGAGCTAATAGGATGATGGTGCTGGAATAGGACTAGGGAGACCTAGATCTGCTTTGGTTATGGAAATTTAGTTGATGATTTTTGAGATAATCATTATCTCTTCACAGGGTTGTTGTAAGAAAATTGGGAAAGGGAATTTGTGAAGGAAAGGCAGTATTTAAATCAAACAAATGAGTATACTAAACGTCATAAATTTTTAACAAAATAAAGTAAGGAGGAGAGGAGAGGAGAGGAGAGAAGAGGAGAGGAGAGGAGAGGAGAGAAGAGGAGAGGAGAGGAGAGGAGAGAAAAATGTCCAACACTCACTGCCAGTTTCCCACAAGAAAATTCAATGGGGAAGCCAACAGGAAGACAGATGTTGCTGTGCCACTGATTTTTGTCCCATCTGTGGTCATTCTGATTCTCTGTTTAGGTAAGGAAATATCTCTGAAATAATAACCTAATGGGTCAATATTTGTCCAGTAACATATAAATGTGTAAAAATATACTGAACTATCAGGTCCAATCCCAGAGATGATAAAGCAAAATCCAATTGAGTTCAATCCTTTAATTGCTAACACCTAAAGGATAGAGTCTTATCAAACTAAAGCTGTAACTATCTAACCTACTAAGAGTATATTGAAAGATTCTAGACTGTGGTTATCCTGAACCTCATCTACCACCCCATCCAGTTTGGATCTGCACAGTCTCTTAATTCAGGCCTCTCTTTGAAAAAACTGTATTACCAAACCTGTCCCCCGTTGCTCCTGCAGAGGTACATTCCATCACACAATTTTATATATTTTTAAAACAAGTATTTAAGATACTAAATAGAAATAAACCTTAAAACAAATTATATAACTAACTGAACGTTTGACAATTATGTACACTTTGGGATTAACATCAAGGAGATCCTTCTGAATTCAGTCTATGGATTTTCTAATATAAAGCACCAGAATTCTCACCTCAGTTATGAACTCACTGGATAAACTTAGGCAAAGTATTCATCCCTCAGACTATAATGATTTGTCTTTCCACTAGTAAATAAGTGTTACTGGAAGAACTAATTTGATATAATGATGGATATAATAGTTTTTATTCTGTTCATGATCCATTTCTGTTTTAAGACAGATATTCCCATTAGTTTCTTCAAATTTTAGAAATGCATTGTAAACTTAAATGTTCATATAGTCTTTTCAGGGTTCCTTTTCATATTTAAATTTGCAATTATTTTTACAGATTCTAGTATTACAGAATAGTTAGAAAGGATGTCATTTGCTATGCAGAATAATCACAAGTTTGAAATGACCCAGATGCAATAGCAAAAATATATCCTCTTTTCTAGATAATTGTTGCTAACTTGCTCAAAAGACAGCCATCTTTTTAAATATACAATTATCCAGGAAGACAGGGTGCACTGAGACACAGATTTTCCTAAAGCAATCTTAGAGGTGTTTTAAATGCAAGTGATTGTGCTATACTAGTAAGTACTCCAAATAGTTAGACCATGTAAAAAAATAATTGTAGCATTTATACCATCTTCTTAAAATGGTAAGTTGCTTAACTATGTAACAGAAAAAAAATTTTTAAAACCGCAGACTAATCCATATACCTGTTTTCAAAGTGAGTGCTAGGGAGTGCAAACTGATGAAGTTTACAACAAAATATATAATGTATAAACTTTTCCAGTTTCTCAAATTTAAATTCACAAAATTATGTGCTATATAAATATATCATATTTACTTACAGGTAAACTAATAACATAGCTCCCATCACCATAACAAAGCGACTGAAGGATGAATAGAAATATACAATACTAAGGAGAATAGCAGCTCTGGAGAATGTGTATATCCAGTCCAGCCAATCTCTATTGAAGTCCTCTTCATTAATGACTGGGCCTCCTTGAGCATTCATTTGCACATTTTGATTTATAGGTCTGTTCTCCTGTGGAGCTACATTTGGAGCTGCTGGGGCTTCATTTGCAGGAACATGATCAGAACTTGAGGGCTCTGGAACTGGAGGACTGGTAGAATCAGGACTGAGGATTGCCTGTGCTGAAACTGCAGCTTGACTGTAACAGAATTAATGAATAGCTTCTCAAAAGTAAGGCATATTGGTTAGCTATTTATAATATGCAACAAAAGAATCTCATCATGGTATTTAAATCAGCTGCTGTGAGAAGGGCATCCTTCTCCTCGGAATGAACTAAGGAAGGGAAAAAAGATTCCCTCACACTGGTAACTGAAATAGGCATTTTGAAAATAAGAGTCAGCTTGAAACACTAAAATTATGAACAGATAAATGTCCTCAATTGTACAGTCCTCAACTTATAATGGCAATTGGGACCAGAATTTTCACCACTAAGTAATGAAGACTTATTTGGATCAAGATGCAGCAAGGATCGGAGAGGGTACATTGGAGTGTGAGGAAGATGTAGGCAGGATCAGGGAGGGTATATGTGAGTGAGGTACGATGAGAATCAGGAGAGCACAAAGGAGTATAAGGAATGTGCGAGGGTGTCACGGTGATAATTCAATCCATAACTCAGTTCTTGGCTGCAGAGGCTTTTCCGGAAGGCCTCTGATGGCTAAATTCAGGCTATGGGACACTGCGTGCATCAAACTGAAGCTCCATTCTTAGCTTCAGAGGCATTTCCTGAAGGCTTCTGGGGGCGAAATGGAGGGCGGGGGCAACACGCATGAGCGGTGGCAAGCAGCCACCGAAGAAATGGACGGCAAGGCAAGTGTCAATTCATGGGAGGTCTGGCTGCAACGATAAGCGGTGCAGGGCATGTGGAACAGCTCCACCCCTCCACCCCCACCCTAGCTTGATTTTTAGGTATGTGTTTCGCCCCAAAACAAGGGCTTATTTTGGGGTAGGGCTTATATTAGGCCCACCCCCAAAAATCAAGCTAGAGCTTATTTTGGGGGGTAGGTCTTACTTTTGAGGAAACACGGTAGGCGAGAAAATGCCCTTCAAGTGGTTTGTAAAGAATTTGCACAGTACATAGCCTTCTCTTCTGTGTCTCTCTGCCTTCAATAAATAACGTTTATAGGTTCTCTCCACCCTAAATGAATTATCAGAAAATCTGTGGTCTGATTTCAATCCTATTCTTGTTCACCATGACACATATAACATCTTTTAGAAGTACATTTGAGGTAAAATGTTCCTTATGTGACAAGAAGTATAGTGAAGAAGCAATGACTGCAAAAAAAAAAAAAAAATCTTAGAAGTTTGGGTTTATTAGTAATTAGTAGTACATACTTCACAAATAAAAATTATCCTTATTTTTTTCTTCAATCTCATTGAATTATCATGAATAAGATTAATCATGCCACTATATATGATAAATTTCAAGCATGTATAGTAAAGTGATTTCCCCATTGACACAAATATGCAGCTAAGGCAGACTTTTATATAAAAAGAAACTGGAAATACAGAATTGTATCTTGACATGTTCTTCTGCTTTTCTAATAAAATTCTTCCCAAATACAGTCTAGGAGGATGGAAATTTTCAATTTGTAATAACTTTTCTCCATAATAAAGCATATCTCTGAATCAGCCACTAAAACAAAAATAAAGCTACTCTTAAATAATCAATAGTAAATGTTTTAACAAAGCTGTATTTTTATTTCAGAATTGGTTTGTTAAAACTAATCTACAAAAAAAATCAATCTAGTCTTTTTTTTAATTACCAATCTTTCATCTTAGTACTAATTAAAATCATGTACTTACTATTGCATATAATACTGACGTGCATACATCTGTTGCCACCATAACATCTGTAGAGGGCTGAAAGTAGGATATACTGGAAACCCAGTTGATATTCCTTGCCCAGGAAATTGATTATCTACACTGTTAGAAACACACTGAAGTTTAATTATATGTCTCTGTTTTATATAACAGAGGTACATATAGATAAAATATATGAGCTGCAGAAGTTCAGAAAGCACAAAGAGTAAGCATTTCTGTATCTCTTTGCTTCCCTCTAGTAGTTGGGATTTTTTAAGCCCAGATCTGGGTAGGCATAAAATTAAAGTATTTCTTTTTTACAATATATATATATGTCTCTATCAAAGAATTTAAAATAGTCCAAAACTGATAAAACATACAATAAAAACAGAACAATAATTGATTCATCACATTTCCTCCCAAAATAAATATAAACTCCAGTCTTATTTTAGGATACTTCTTACATAGAAAAGCATAAAAAGAACAAAGAGATATTAAAATAATATAATTTCATCATTCCCCATGATTTATAATTTAAAAAATTAATATCAAGTGTTTGGCAAACATATAGAAGACTGCAATGAGTTCAAAACAACTGAATACCATCACAATATTGAAGGTATCCTAAATCAGTCTCCAACACAAAAGGTGATTACCCATTTCTTTCTATAGAAAAGTCAATATAAATTCTGGAAGGTAAAATGCTAGCACATTCACCAACTCTTCATACCAAAATCTTCACCTGTTGCTTTAAGAAGTGATGGCTAAACCTGTTTTTTCCCTTCTTCCTCCACTTTTTCTAGGAGTATCATCTTTTTAATTTGAAAGCTAGGAGGCAAACAAGGTAACTTTTCTGATATTTGAAAGTCACTTTTCTGATATTTGAAAGCTATTTAGGTTAAATAAATAAGTAAAATGGCTGTAATGTAAATAACCTGGGAACAGATTTTTATTATAATAATACTTTACCCCAAAAAGAATGTATAACAAATTATATTATGCTTTCAAGAAAATAAAACACCTTAACAGAATAACTTAGCACAAATTGTGTTCTATTAAAAATGTAACAAGGCTTGCAGATATAATGTTTTGCCTAGCAAAGAGCATGATTTAGTTAGAAAGAGAAAATGCTAAAATAATAACAGTTGTCATTACTATTACTTGGTTTTTATTTACTTATTCCTTATCTCAATTTCAATTATATAGGCTGATGTTCTGTCCAGAAATGGCAAATTTTACAATGACAATGCTATACATATTTATTAAAGGCAACAACAGGATTCACTGCAATACAAGTTGATGCAATCATATTGCATCATACCAGAATTATATCTTAGAAGAAAGTTGGCTGCAAGGTGTCACAAGAGACCTTGGTAATTCTCTGTGTATTCAGACTGAGAAGATATAAAAATATTAGTAATAAGAAGAGATAAACAATAGTAATGGTTATTTAAAAATAATTGGGAGAAAAATATTAACCCTAAAAAACTATTTAGACTCCTTAGATCTTGTGTAGAAGTAGAAGAATATGTGGTATAAGGAGACAAATTGATTTTTTGCAAATAAAACATTAAAATTGTAACTATTTATTTTAGTGTCAAAACATAGATTGATAACAATCTCAGTTTTTAATATACTTCAGGGTGGGATACAGGCAACGTATTTTCTAAATTAGAGAATGCTAGCTTGCATGGAATACCATGAAGATGCTTGGGAGTAAAATTGGGCTTTGATTGCAGTTGTGATGTATTGGTCAAAATGTGCCCTAATTGCCTGGTACTATTCTTATTATTAGCAGAGAAGACTGCATGTAGCATAGATCAGTGTTCTTTAACCTTTCTGGGTTGGTAACCCGGTGGGGGGGAGGGGGGAAGAGAAACAGATGTACACACACACACACATGTACGCACCAGTGCACAAGTAGCAATGAGAATGCCAGAACCCGCTGCTCATACAAGTGGGCTGCAAGCACCGGCACCAACTGCTCGCATGAGTTGGGCTGCATTTGTGCATGCCAGCCCACTACTCACACGGCCCAGTTGCGAATAGGCCACAGCCCAGTAGTGGGCTGCGGCCCAAAGGTTGGGAACCTCTAGAATAGATAGCGGGTACTCTAGTCTGTGTCTTTTGCAGTTTACTAAAAAGAATACAAAATTTTTCAATGACCAGAACATTGGGTAGCAGAGGTCAATATCTATGAACCCATCCAGTCACAATGCAAAGAAGATTATAACTTGGAATGTCAGAGAAATTAAACTATTATTTAGGTCCTATAATAATAATGTATAATAATAATTTAAAAAGACAAAAAGAGACCCAGAAAATGCAGAGCAATTAAGATATAAAACTGCATTGGAAAAGAGTACACAGGATAAGCTTCCAATAGAATAAAAGGAATAACAAATAATGAAAATATTTATAAATAACTAAAGGAGAGAATATTTTAGATATTTGAATGGAGATGACACAGATTATGTTGAAGAGTAGAATTGAAACTAATGCTGTAACTACCAGAATCTTTTTACAAAATTACGAAAAGGAAGCCACAAAAATATGAGTATATTGAAAAATAGTATAGCTAGTACAGATGACCAAATGTTAAAATATTCACATGTTCATTAATTTAAAGAGTGGCAATGCCAATTCATTTAATGTGCTAAATAAGAAATAGAGTATCTGTTCCATTATTGTTCTGCAATACAAGGGGAAAGATATCATGTGTGAGTACAAAACATGTAAGGTAATTACTTCGTTAAGTGAGCCTGAGAAGGAATCTGGTAGAATTTTGACTAACAGTACAAAATGTGACAATGAACAAAATTAGGGAAGGTCAATATAGTTTCATACAAGTTATGTGCAATGAGGTTTTTTAGTTCTCTAAAAAAATGTATAACAATTAAAAGAAAGCATAAAGATTTAGAGAAATCATATAATACAGGTAATCTTCTACTTACACCCATTCATTTAGTGATCATTCAAAATTACAATGACACTGAAAAGTGACTTATAAACATTTTTCACACTTAGTTACATATTCAAAATTCGGGTGCTTGGCAAAATGGCATGTATTTATAACAATTGCAGTGTCCTAGGATCATGTGATCACCTTTTGCGACCTTCTGACAGACAAGGTCAATGAGGAAGCTAAATTCACTTAACAACCATGTAAATAAATTGTTCATTTAACAACTATGACAAGAAAGGTTGTAAAATGAGGCAAAATTTATTTAATAACTATCTTGCTTAACAACATAAATTTTTGGTTCAGTTGTAGTCATAGGTCCAGAATTGTCTGCATATGAATAAAAAAATGTGGGGTAGTTGTGCTAACATTAGAACTATATTGGCTAGAAATACGAATGTACTTTTTGTATGTTTTTATGTATTGGCTGAAAATCCGAATGCTTTGCAGTATGATGCAACTAGAAAATTAACAATCAAAGATTAAGATAATTGCATGCAACCAGAAAAATGAAGTGAAAATAGCAAGTTACACATCCAGGGAGAAAGATAGTGGTTTATATATGATCAATTATGAATGGCAAAATGAATGTAAACTATGTTGTCCCCACTTTGTTACATAGAAATGAAAGTTGGATATGTCAGGAGAAACATAGAATTTGCGTGCACTGGAAATTGAAGTGGGTATGATCGATGTGAGATAATATATAGAACTAATTGGTTTTAAATTGAAAATTATCCGTGCATAGGAAATTTGCATCTTATAGATAGAAAGGAGGAGGATCAAACAGCAAAACAAATCATCTGAAAGAAAAATGTACAAGATAAAGGGAAACAAAATTGTGGTTAAAGTAAGGGAGGGGAAAAGTCTGAAAAACATCTGCAAGAAAACCATCAAACTCAGAGAGCATCAAGAACTCCACAATTTAACCCTGAGCTACAAATACTCTGTTCTATTGGTACAAAAAAACACTTCACAATGTTTATACATGAAAGAAGAGTAGAGTAGTTTGCAAGGATAAAAAGACAGGCAGAGATACAGTGAATGCTATTATTGTACATTAATTTTATTCAGGTATTTTTTTCCTATTCTTTTAATTTCTTTATTATTTTTAATACATTTTCAGTGTTCTGTGAATTATATTGCCTACACTATAAAATGTTGAATGAAATTCTAACATTCAAATCATTTATATGCTACTTACCTCTGCAGTATATATGAGAATGGATGGCTTTGTATTTGGTAATTGTGTGTCTGTGCAAAGTTGCGATGTCGCACACCTTCAGAATTACTGACAGCTGTATATACAGTTTCTTGAGCTGGGGAAGGAGATGATAATCCCAAATGTTCTGAACTCTTAAAATGCAGATAATAGTTTGAATTAGATGTGCAAAGCATTCAGTGCTGGTTCTTCAAAATACTATGAAAACTAGTCTAATATTCTATATTGGACATTAGCTTCTTCCTATTAGTAATCCAATTATTATATCTTATACCAGTTTTATATCTTGTCCCAGATTTATGCATTGCATAGATTTTTAAAATACTAACAGAATATTTTGCTGGCTAAAATAGTACACTTTTTTTTTCTTTTCCACCAGCATCAACAATACTGTAAAAGATAAGCAAATTATGAATCGGAAAACATCATCATGAATCCAGGAACTCATAGTATAATTGCCATGTGAATGTCAGCCTTTACAGAGCCATCTCTATTTGGACCATGACATCTGTAAATATTTTGGAAAAAATTTGCTATCATCTATTAAAAATCTCCAAAAATTGTACATATTCTTGGAAGGATGGGGAATAATACATTTTTCTTTTGATTTTTAGAAAGCACAGTTCTAAAAGTCAGTCTAAAAATCTTTTATTATACTTCCTTGTTTAATTAATCATTAAACTAATATTCTAGATTGGCCAAAATGATATAATGCCTTCCTGATAACAGTACTATCACTATTATAAGGGGAAATGAATATATTAAAACAGCATATATTTATTGATAGAATTTAAATGATTACATCTCACACAAAGATAACTTACCAAGCTGTTGCTAGATGCTGAAGACTCATGACTTTCTCTAATAGTATCAGGTTTAGGGGAATTTGGGGGTGTCCGTGAAGAACATACCAAATGAACCATATGATATTCATCTTGCTAAAATAAAAGGGAGTATTTTTAGTGCTGTCTACTTTCACATTAAATCCATGGTGACTAGCAATACCAATCATAGTATAAGTGTTCATATAATTAGTACAATAGGTATGTTTGCACAACACACTGAACATATTACTGAATTAACCCATTTTCTACATTTGTATATAGACTATAACAAAATGTGTTGGATTCGCAGAACAAAATAAACTCAAGCTTGTAAGTTATGCAAATACAATTTCTAGGTCATAACCTGACCTAGTTAATTCAGCCAATGAGTACCAAATGTAGACACGTTTATAATGACCATTACAGCTATAGTATCTGTATGAACCAACCAAGTTCTAACAATGTTTGTTTTCAAAGAGTAGCCCAGCACACACAGCAATGGGTAAGCCAGTACATACAGTACTCTCTTGGCTGGCTGGCTCTCTTCCTTATCAGAAAGAGAAAACACAGAACAAGTGAGCAAATGCAAGAGAAGGAAGGAAAGAAGGAAAGGAGAAAAGAAGGAAAGTTTCTGTCTGTATATGTGTTTATGTATATCATAATTCCCTATTTTATTTTCCTGAACGTTCAAGAAAAACAGATCTAGTGATCTGTTTATGAGTATGACCCCATTCTCATTTTTATACCAAGGAACATCTCAACTTATTTGCATATACAATGAGGCTTAGGGGCTCTTAGTCACTGTATCAGAAAAATATGTGAAAAATAAATGATATTAATATCTGGATCACCCCAGCTCCTAAATTTATACTCAATCTTCCAATTGCTTTATCCAGTATCAAATAAATATTTAGAGCAATTTTTTAAGAAATTACCATTTGTCTACAATGGATTTTTATCATAGGGAATACAGGAATGTAGATTCAATAAAAAATACACCGTTTTATAAATACTTCTCTCCCACCATAATAATGAATTTAGGCTTTGCCCTCTCTATGTTACTTTATTTGAAAATAGTGTTGCTTTATAATTATAACTTGCTAGTCCTAGCAAAAATGACTTAAACAAAATCCAAACACTTCTCTACCTACCTACCTATGTATCGAAACTATATTTTAAATAAATGGCTGGAGTTTGCTTTTTTCTGAGCAATTTTTAAAAACAAAGATAGTATTTAGATTTTGCTTTTCACTGCATTATCAGGAAATGATCTTGTGCTGTTGTACTAGACTGCATATGTGACTCTCAGTAAGATGAGAAATATTGTTCTCCATAGGGATTGTTCTAGTATCTTTTAGTATCTCTGAAATAGAGAAGATGAGCAGAATACTAGTCCCCTTGGCTCCACCTATAGCAACCTATTGACTCCACCAACACTCTAGAAAGCAGGCAGTCAACAAGTTCTCCCTTTTTCCATCAGTCCAAGTGAACCATCATTAATCACTACTAATTCTTCAAAACCTATACTGTTGTTAGCTACAGTCAGCAATTTTAATCTCCTCTTTATCAACAAATAATTACAGGGAGAGATTATTAGAAAGGACTGTAATTGCTCAGAATTAGAGCAGCAATAGATCTAATCAATGCAATAAATTAGTTAGGAAATATGACAACTTTTAACACTCATATTTATGATATATAAAATATCTAACCTCATGTATGTGTACACTTAAGAAATATTTATTTATGAGACTTATATACCGCTTTAAGTGCAAACACTCTCTAAGCGGTGTATACCAGTAAGCAATGTGTGTGTGTGTATATATATATATATATATATATATATATATATATATATATATATATATATATATATATATTACATTGCCCCCAACAATCTGGGTCCTCATTTTACCTACCCCGGAAGGATGGAAGGCTGAGTCAATCTTGAGCCAGTGAGATTTGAACCGCTGACCTGCTGAACACAGTCAGCTAAAGTGGCCTGCAGTACTGCACTCTAACTGCTGCGCCACCTCGGCTCATTACCAGGTACCAGGGGCCCCAGCCAAAACATACAATACAATAATTTTCTAAAACAGATAATCAATTCATGTTGTAAACAAAGTTAGCATATTTCATTAAATTTCTGTGTTCATCATACAACATTGGGATTGCTCCATTTTACAGTAGTGACAATTTATACATAGTTCAATAGTATTTAGAATTCACTATTTTGAAAGGTAAAATATTTATTTAAAATACGGTAATTGAGTAAAGCTTACTTTTCTGAGAATATCTCTTAGTTGCAGGTGATCAGGAAGCAACCTGCCAGAATAGACCAATCTCTGATCCTTTGTAGACTAAGAGATGTGACAAAGGAAGAATTAATCTTTTTCAGAAGCATTGTATTAGAACTGCAAACAATATTTGTAGATTAATAGTGTAATTTAAAATTCTCTTATATTTAACATTTGAAATATGTGTAAATGGTGTCTAAACCTTCAATCTACACGCACATTTATAATACACATATACAAAAATACTTTTATTACTTCGAGCCATGGAATAGTTCATCCAGTCAGTTTTAAAAATAAAATGCACATACATTTAAGTAATTTATTTGTCAAGTGTGATATCTCTTGACTATTGGTATTGCTAAATATTGGTATTGCTAAATTAGAAGGAAATAAGAATAAAATATCACAACTAATTGTTTTGTCTCACAACACTATTATTATGTTTTAACCAGTTTTTAACTACTGCTTTTTTAAACTAAACTTTATTCTGACATACATAGCTCCTTTAGTGAATAATATTAATATGATTCAGAACTTCTAAATGTGAGTTTCACTAGCAATCAGTGTGTTATGTGATAATAAGGGATTCAAATTTATTGCTGAAATAAGTGATATTTGACTAGCCTTACTCAGAACAACTCTAAATAACATATCCCAAAGGGAAGATGTTTATCCATAGATTACAAAAATTCTCCTGTCTGTTTGTCAGTTTGTAACCTTCAATTAGCCCAAACAGAGCATCATAATATAACAATTTTTAATCAATGTATCTCAAATCCATATAAAGAATGTGTACAAAATCTGGGACCCAGAAAATGCACTGAGTACTATATATAAATTCTAAACAAAAATCAGGAGGCATATCACTAAATGATAAGGTACTAGGCTGGAAACTGGTAGAATATAAATTCTAGTCTTGTTTTAGACAGATACTCAGATTGACATTTGATACTCTTTTAGCGTCTAGGAACAAGAAAATGACAAATCACTTCTAAGAATTTTGCCAAGAAAACTGCAGGGACTAATAGTTGTCAGGAATCGATACTGACTTGAAAGCACACACACACATAAAAAAAAATCCACAAAAAATACTAAGTTTTTTTTACTTTTCTTTGGTTTACTGTCTATTAAAGCAAACCATTCTTAAACATTCTTGTTAGTTATAATATTTCAGAGTGTATTTTAAAAAACAGTAATCATATTTGTTACCAGCAAATACTGATTATTTTAATTCAAACAGAACAACCTAGGGGAAAAAAATCATGCTTCATTTTCATAAATAATTTCAAAACATCACTACACTGTCAGGAAGCTTTGAACTGCATGTACAACTACAAGAAAGTGCATGCGAGGTCTTGGAAATGAGTTTTCATCTATTGAAAATGTTATGTGGCAAAAAACATATTAGTTTGCTCAAACATAGTCTATAAAAGCCTTCAGCAGAAATGGAAGCATCTATTGTCTAGCTGATGCAAAAAACAGTTGCAGAAAAATCAAGAGCACCTTGTATTTTCCTGAGTTATATAGTATCTTGAATAAAGTGAATCAAGAGATAGAGAGTGGTCAGACAATTGTGTTCACCCCAGTATTATGAAAAGGAAGAGACTCATCTTTAAAAGAAAGTGGTTATTTGCTCCAGTCATTTGCAAAAACAAGCAGGTGGCAGGACTTTGCAGTAGTTGGAGTCAATCTCCAAAAGTTATTTCAGAGCAACACAAGTGCAAACACAACCCCATACCTAAACAGTATTTTTTTTCCTCGGATCATGTGACTAGTGGTTATGCAATCCCAGTAAGAGACAGAGCTGTTTATTAAGATCTCCTTTTGGAGATTTAATCTCAAAATACTGCACAGCTCTAATACAGGGAAACAAAAGCATATTGATTTTTTAGACCACAAAAATGAATTCATAGCTAAACAAATGTCAGGATGGAAACAATAATAACAATAACAATAGTGTAATTAACTAGAACTGTGATGATTATCTTCTTAGGAATATGTATATGTATATGATTTCCATGAAGCTCAGGATGACAACACAACATGACACCACTGAACAAGCTAAAGCTCTTGATATGATAACAAGATTTATGAAAAATAACAAAAAGTTTGCAACAAAGCATCTAAGTAGGATGATAAGTTACAAGAGGTACTGGCCCACCCAGTACCATTTAGAGGATTCATTTCAGCAAATACTTTTAGACATAACTATTTAGAAGTTTGGGATTATTTTGCAGATTGTATAATTACTGAAAAACATGGATTTGTCTCTGCAGACATGGTAGTCAAATTTCTGATTAGTTATTTCCTTCATAACACAAAGTTGTACTCTATGTGTGACTTAGTATGTATATTTTGGATAGAAATGGTTTTCTTGAAATTCCAATAATGAAAACTATGCACTATTAGGAGACAATATGCATTTAAAATTGATGTATCTGTAATCTAGTAATTAAGAGAAAGTGAGCCCATTGTTGGATACTGAATGAAAAAACACAGTCTTAGTGGAGTACGCTTTGGAAAAGTGAGATTTTGGTTTGGGGAATGAGGAAGGAAAGGCCTAGTTGTTAGTACTATGCTAAGGTCTCACATCATTGCTTGGGAAAGAGCAGGTAGAGGAGGTAGCTTTAAAAAATGGCATTGAGGTCCCTTGGGATACCAGCAGGAATGCTATCTTTTTTTTCTGACTATTGTATGACTTAAAAACCCTGAAATGTAGCAGAGAAAGCTTGCTCAAACAGAGAACGTGTGAAAAACTCCATTTTAGAACACCAGACTCCTTTCAACGCATAACTACAGCAAGCCCAAAAGCAAAAAATAAAGCGTTCCTCTTCCATGCAACTGCTTTTCTCGGTCGGCATCTCCCGAACCCCACCGGCTGTTCTGCTCCGTCCGGTGACTCAGGAGGAGCTAAAAGAAAGGCGAGGGGCTCACCGGCTTACTGGGATACACCTTGGAGAGGTGGCATTTCAGTCTCCCGACGGTCCAGTCCAGGTAGCAGCTGATGGTCTGGTCAGTATATTTCTGGTTGGGCGCTTTGATGATGAGGGTGACTGGCGCCCCCGCTACAGGGGTCTCCATCGGGGCCGGCGGCTGTCTAGGCGCCAGACGGGAAATCAGGCTCAGGAACCATAGAAGTGCCTTCCAGAAACGGGAGTGGCCGCGCGGCTCCCAGCGCCCATTTCTGTCCACTGGGAGCTGCTGTTTCCTCCTCAGCTCAGCACGGCCCAGGCCCCAGGAGGCAGGAGGGTAGCGTCATACAGCGGCCATGCGCAACAAGGCCCCAGCCCGGGACCGGCCTTGAGGTAGCCCGCTGCTGCCCCCCAAACAGCCGATCACCCAACACCCTTCCTAGGCCAGAGTGAGCCTAAAATGGAGTCCGGGAAAACAACCAACCGCCCCACCTGGCCAGAGCGCGGCACGGCAGCGGCGGAGGTTGTTGCTGCTGCTCTACCGCGTGGACACCAGGCGGCACTGTGGCGCAGCGGTAGTAGCGATGTCCGGAACAGACGAAGGCAAAAGGCAGGAGCGGATAGTCGCTGACAGCGAGAGGCTGTGGTTCCTGCTTATGCTTTTCGAGTCCCTGAGTCACAAAAAAGTCCTCGGGAAATGAAGCTTTTCCGAATTGTTGTGTTCGGCTATGCCTCGGAGCCAGCGATAGGCAACAAGAAAAACGAGCGGAAAAGGAGAAAAAGCAATGAGCAAACAAAACAATAGGAGATAAAACGTCATTTTATATTTAGGCATAGTTTGCCTAAGGACCCAGCGAGTTTTCAACAGTCCCCTTTGATGCGTTAGATTCCCACTGCAAAAAGTCAGGGAGGTGTAATACAGTTCAATACATCTGGAAGATGCCAATTGGGGAAGGACCGTAGACCATAGTGCAGGGGTAGGCAACCTTGGCTCTTTTATGACTCGTGGACTTCAACTCCCGAATTCCTGAGCCAACTGTGTGAGAAATTAGAGAAAGCTACCAGTTACAATATATATGCAAATAATGTCCCTACATTCCTTAAATATAGGATTGGAATTTGAATTCATTCTTACGTTATTTTGTTAAGAAATTTAAGTCCATGTTGTTTCTTTATGAAGTGCTTATGAAGTTACTGAAGGATGGGAGAGGGAGGTACAAGCCAATGGGCTCTGCTTAGCCAGGCAAATAAGATGGCTCTTTGGTGTTAGTGGGGCTTGGAAGTATGCATAGAGCTTCAATTTAACTTTCAGCTAAAGAGCATATTATAAATGTTATTGTAGAGTATAGTTTAATTTGTTATTAAATTGGTGCCTGAATATTAGAATATATATTTTTAGCATTTCTCTCTACTTACAAAAACTGTCAGAAAGGAGAAGCCAGTTTATTTTTCCTTCTTTTAATTTTAACTCCCAAATATAAGAATGGAATAGAATGGAATAGAATAGAATAGAATAGAATAGAATAGAATAGAATAGAATAGAAATTATCTTGAATATTGATATCTTGAATATCGAAGGGAACTTAAAAACCAAACAAGAGTTGAAAAAACAGGGCATTGACTTATGGTGGCCTCATTTACAAATACAAACAAAATACGAGAAAGATAACAAAATATATGGTTTTTATAAAGAGCAGACACTGTTTGATCAGGTACTATTAACATCAGACGAAAAACTGATTAAGAAATTGTACAATTTTTTTTAAAGCTTAAAGATGGCAGATGAACAAGTAAAAGGACAATGGGCTAAACACTTTGGGCACAATTTAGAGTTAGAAAACTGGCAAAATCTTTGGGAAAGATACTATAAAACAACAATGGGAACTGCATATAAAGAAAATCTGTATAAAATGTTTTATAGATGGCACTAATCACAGGCCAGACTAGCAAAAATGTTTAAAAATATGTCTAGCAATTGTTGGAAATTCAGGCAAAAACCAGGAACTTACTATCATCTTTGGTGGACATGCCCTAAAGCAAAAAAAAAATTGGATAAAAATTCATAGTTGGTTAAAAAAAATATTTAAAAAATATGTAGATTTGAAACCAGAATTATTTCAAGAAAAGATAAAAAAGAAAATGTATATTTAATGGTACATGTATTAACAACAGCAAGAATTGTTTTTGCTCAAAATTGGAAAAAATGAAGAAACGCCTTCTGAAGATGACATAATTAAGAAAATACTGGAATGTTCAGAAATGGACAGACTCACATTGAAGATTAAAGAAAAAGAAGATACAGAATATTTTCAAATATGGGATGTATTTTACCAATGGCTGGAAAAACCATGTAGGATTTTACTACATATTAAAATAAGACCCAGACAACATGTTGTTTATTAAGCACTAATAAACAAATAAAATATAAAAAAAGAAATTATGAAATAACAAATAAACTGGCATATATAAATATTTTAGTGGTGTTTTTCTTGACATAAGAAAAAATGATTATTAAAGGCCAGCTTAGGTCATAGATAAAATTTTAGCAGTTTATGGCATTGTAAAATGTTTTCAATCTAACTGCTACTCCAATTGTGTATATGTGTACACTTTTTTTTAATTCAGAACAGATTGGAACTAGTCAATTTTGTGATTAGCAGGATGAGGTGACAAACATGTTATTTACAAATGGTCCTCAATTTACAACCAGTTGTTTAATGACCTTTCAGAGTTAAAAAACATCAAAAAGATACTTCACTTCTGGCTGTTATAAAATGTTGCACCAACCCCATTCCCACAGTCATATGACTGCATTTCAGGTGTTTGGCAACCCGCTTATATTTAGGACTTGTTGCAGCATGACTGTGGTTTGTGAAGTTTTTTGCTGGGTTTGAGCAAAAAACCCCTATTCAGAACAATGTATTTATAATTGCATGATTTGGTTAACATCTATGATAAAAATGGTTGTGAAATTGGGTCAAGTTGTGTGATGCCTCAACTTATGATTGTCAAAACTTATGACTGAAATTCTCATCTGATATTACTTTAGAATTAAATTTGTACTCATTACTAAAGCTCAGAATGGTTTTACAAAATGCTCTGTTCTTATGAAAATGGATCTTGAGATTATTAATGTGCATTTAGTAGTTAGATAGTTAAGGTGTGCATTAGGATCCAGAAAGACCTGTGTTCTAGTATACTTTCAACCACAGAAGCTCACTGGGTACACTGAATGAATTGCCATTTCTCAACTACTTCATGGGCTTCTAGTAGCTTTTCCTCCCTGTAGTAGCTTTTCTCTTAGGGGGAGCCTGGAACCCCCACAGAGCGCGTCCCCGGGTGGCGGATTGGGGGGGCCTACCCATTATGGCTTTTATACCGTAATGGCAGGTTGGAGAGAATCAAATACCTCCCATGGACAACAGGCCTGGTGAGTGGCAGCTGGCTCCCCAATATCGACTGAAGGCGGAGACCATATTGGTTGGAACGGATTCAGAAGAACAGCACACAGTGTGGTGGCAGCCACTTGAACAGCGTGTGCACAGCAGTGTAGAAAGCAAAGAGAAGACTACTACACTGTATATTTCCCAGGAAAATCATGTTAATGGCAACAAAACCTAACAATGGCCCCGAGTACGGGCGCCCCTTAAATGGGGCAGGGGTGCTAAGAATCTCCTGGTCCACTAGAAGCATGATAAACCCAAAAGTACGAATTGATACATGGAATCTGAGAAGCCTATACGAAGCTGGGAAAACACACAGCACTATCCAAGAAATGTCCAAAACAAGATCAGAAATGAAGAGGTGATAAGTCGCCTGGGAAAGCCAAGGAAAATCATCAAAACAATTAAAAAATGAAAATTAGAATATTTCGGACATGTGATGCGACACCCAGAAAAATATGGCATGCTCCATTTAATCCTCCAGAGAAAGATTGAAGGCAAACGAGGTCCAGGCAGGAGAAGAACATTGTGGCTTCAAAATCTAAGGGACTGGTTTGCACAAAATTCACCAGCACTTTTTTGTGCGGCTGCTGATAAAAACAGGATCGCCAACGTCCGATAATGGATATGGCACAACAAAAAGAAGTAGCTTTTCCTCCCTTATTTGCCCATTATTTTCATTTTTCTTAGTACTTCTATATTTTATATTTTGATAAACTAATAAAATATTCGAATCTGGAGAATTGTTGCAATTGTATGCTTCATGGCCCTTCCAGTTTTGTGGAACACATATCAGTTATGGGCATGAGGAATTCTTATTATGCAGTCCTTTAGTTTAATTGAAGGAGTATCTTAGATATTTCTATACTGGCTTTTCAATTTAATATTGAGTAGGCACTTGGGATCATGTATAGCTTGCTAATACAGGATATAGTTTCTATCATCCCCAGCCAATATGACCAATGGTAAGATTCTAGGACAGTGGTGGTGAACCTATGGCATGCGTGCTGTCGCCCCAGCCCTGCCTTCCCCCATGGCCCCCTACTCACCAGCAGCCCCCCCCCCAGAGGAGAGTTGCCCCCAAGCACAGCCCACGCGGAGCAGCGCAGCCAAGCACATGGAGCCGGGCAGCTGGGACAAGACTCTGCCCTCACACTCCATTGTGCACAGATGATGCTGCAAGGTGTGGGTGGAGGGCATGGCCGCCATAGCATTGCTGGGCCACCTGGGTGATCTGCAGTAGGTCCTGGAAGCGGTGAATGGCCCTGTGGGAGGGTGGGGTGGGGCAGAGCAGGCTGGGGATGGGGCAGAGTGGGCAGAATGGGGCGGAGTGGGGCAGGGGTGGTTTTGGGGCATTCGGTCTCTAAAAGGTTCGCCATCACTGTTCTAGGAACTGGAGTTCAGTAACACAGGAAGCTCCATTCTTAGTTTGAATTATATAGCTTTCTCAACTTAATGCTTTTGTTTTTCTTGGGGGTTTTTTAATGCTTTTTTCAATTTTTTATAAAATCCTTTTTTCAATTTTTTTAAATTTTTCAATTTCTTATTTCAACTAAACATTAAAAAATTACTTATTTTAATTCTGTAGAAATTTTTAAATTCTTAATGATCTAAGAGGAAAAAAATAAAAAAAGCACAGAAAAAGAGACAGACGCTTAAAACAGGGAAGTTACTGATGAATTTTTCAAGACAGAGAACAAAGGTCAAGAAATCTTGTAAACTTGTAAGCTGACACTTTGTAACATGGACAATATTTAAATTTTTAGAAATTTTAAATTTTTTAGCAAACAAAAACGTCATGGTGATAATGACTGACACTATAGTGATTTGCAAAGTGTGCCATATGTTTCAGCTTATGCCTATAGAAGATCCAAACTATGTATGTATCAAATGTAAATTGTTTGAATTATTGGAAGAAAAAGTAAAGGGTTTAAAGGCAATTATAGCACTCTGAAACTCAATGAGCAAAGTGAGAAATCCCAACCTAAACAAGAAGACTACACCAAAATAAAACACAATAGGGAGCAAACAGCTTCTAAAAAAATGATGACCCCATATATGAACATAAAGAAGAAAACTGATACACCCAAATCAAAC